TACAAGAGAAAGCTGCACTGACTTTTAAGGATTTTTCTATACTTAATGACAACATCATCTATGTCAGGGTGAGCAGAATCCAGGTTTGTAAGATTTGCCTTGTTTTTAGTATTGCCCCAAGGTGATTATCACACGCAGCTTTTAAACCACGATTAAACCACCATACCATCCTGGACACCTCCAATCTGATCAGATTTTGGAAACTAATGCGGGTTGAGCTTGGTTATTACCTGGAAGGGAGACCACCAAGGAATATTTCTTGGAAGGGAGGTCACCACCTCTAGGCAGATCTGGGAAAGAATTCTGCCTTGAAACCTTGAAGAACTTTTGGCAGTCAGACGGATAAGGCAGCTTCTTATGCACCTGTATATCCAATCCAGGAACATATTAGTTTCAGTCCCAGGACCAAAATCACAGTCTTCTCATTACAAAAGTCCATTCCTGGTCTCTCCCACACTTGGGTTTACTTCCACCTCAACAGTCTAATTTAGAACAAGGGGATGTCTTTTGTTGTTAAATAGCTGAGAGTTAGAAATCCTTGTCAAACTTGCAGAGAACATTTACTAGAGATCCCAATCTACTTTCTGCCCACTTCATGTAAGTGCCATGTAAATAGTGAGTGCTATGTGATAGCTCTGGAGTTAATGCCAAATATAGAAGCAAGCACCCCGATATTATAATAGTCTTTCTCCATTTTCTTTCTTCTTTGTTGTTCACTCTCTCTCTCTCATATACTACTAGAGACTGGGAAAATCCCATTCTAAATCAGTGTTGTGTATGTGTGTGTGAGACAGAGAGTGAGTGAGTGGAATCATCTAATAATATCTTCACAATAACCCCAGAGGTAGACTCAGCTGAGCAATAATCACAGCAACCAGGAGTTTTTCTAAGACTTTTTTTCCCTATTGCATAAGAGCTCCGAGGACTGGTACTGAGGAGATGCTTTGCTCCAACCCACTTGGCACCATGGGATATTTTGCAAGGCCATGTACAATGCAGCCACACTATCACTCCAACACAGTAATATACACTTAATATCAGTGTATGAAGACTGAAAAGTGGTAGTAGTTATTTTAATTTTTAATTTCTTTATCTTTTCCTCATCTGTTTACTTCTAGAAATAACCTTGTTTCCAATTAAAGCCCACACTGCCAACTGCACGTAAAACTATTTCCTATTGCCTATTTCATTTTTTCCTACTGCACAACATGTGTCCAGCTACAAATTAGAATAATACCTGACACCAACCAAACAGAAAGACTTGTGTGCATGATCAGACTTCCAGCCATGTTCCTCTTGTGATTGGATGAGGTGTTTGGGAATTTTGATGTTATATGCATTCGCATCTGGAATCCCACTGGTTGCTACATGTTACTCCTTGCCAGCGACTATGGCTTAAACATAGGTAGTGACATCCTTAAAGCTACCCAGATGGCATCATTGTGGGAATCATTTTGGTGATGATTCAGATCTGGGTCTCTTACATTTCAAAAGTTTTAGAACTTAATCCAATCAAACCACAATTCAAAAAGGATGTGGAGAAACTGGAGCGTGTCCAAAGGAGGGCAACTAAAATGGTGAAGGGTCTGGAAACCAAGCCCTATGAGGAACGACTTAGGGAGCTGGGGATGTTTAGCCTGGAGAAGAGAAGGCTGAGAGGTGATATGATAGCCATGTTTAAATATTTGAAAGGATGTCATATCGAGGAGGGAACAAGCTTTTTTTCTGCTGCTTCAGAGACTAGGACCCGAAACAATGGATGCAAGCTGCAAGAAAAGAGATTCCACCTCAACATTAGGAGGAACTTCCTGACAGTAAGGGCGGTTCGACAGTGGAACACACTCCCCCGGAGAGTAGTGGAGTCTCCTTCCCTGGAGGTCTTTAAGCAGAGGCTGGATGGCCATCTGTCAGGGATGCTTTGATTGGGAGTTCCTGCATGGCAGGGGGTTGGACTGGATGGCCCTTGTGGTCTCTTCCAACTCTATGATTCTATGATTCTATGATTCTATGATTCAAACAGCGCTGGCACTTGCTTTAAATTCTCTGTTTCGTATAATGCCAGGCACACTGCTGGCCACTTTAGGAAAAAAAACAACATTAACAATAACAACATGTAAAAATGACTTTCCATGCTCAGTAAACTTTGCTATTAACTCTTGCTCAATATGGTGTCTGTGTAACACTGAAGGAGTTGGAGGCCTATGAAACAGGGTTAACAATTACTTACCCCACAGTGGGGATTTCTGAAGCTCGACTTGCCAGACCAATTTATTATTAACAGGCAGGAGTGCTACATTCCTTTGGCCTTTATTGAGAAGGTGGGGCTTTCTGCCAAAAACCCACAGATCTGGGTGCACCAGGGCGTGATGTTTGAGCTACTTCTAGCTCAAAGCAGCTGTTCATTCCCCTGGGCTTGAGGAAAACAGAACCAACCTTCTCATTCATCTGATTATCCTCATAACTAGGGGGTACCGAGTAACCCATCCTCTGTCATAGAACATCATTTTCAATCCATCTTTTGCTTGAGCTGGCAGCACTCAATAGAAGTTAAGTTTTTAGCCAGATCAGTATTCCCATCCCTTCCTGGGAGGATTATGGGGGACATCCTCCCTATGCTTCCCTCTGCCACAGCTCTCTCATTGTTTTTTTGGGAAGGGAGGTTGGAATTGCTGATTCCAAAGGAGTTGTAATCAACACAGCTTGGGGAATGCAGAACAAATTTTTTCCAGATTGGGGTCTGGTATGGGAGGAGTCGTCAGATTCTCCTCCAGGAGGGGCTGCAGGCCCTTTTCACTCCCCCCTTTTTCCTGCCCACCACACTCAGCATCTCTGAACTCCAGGGCAGCAAACATTCTCTCATTTTTTTTCAGGCAATTGGCTGGAGGTCTCCCTTGCAATTCATCAGCCAGACCACCCGAGTTCATGATTCCATCCTTATCTTCTTCTTAAGAAGGCATAGTTTCGTTCACTTTTTAAAAAGATAATCACCATGGATTAGACCATTGCGAAGTCATCATTGATACTAGGAAGTGAAGAAGAGGGTAAGATTATCATTCTCAGTCAGCAGTTCTCAGTGCTCGTATTTTTGGGCCCCTATTGTTCCATTCCAAAATTCATTTAACTTTACATTTTTTTATGAGTAAATCCAGAGATTTTAAAACTCCTGTTTTACTAATGCAATAGATACCCCAGAGATAGGACTATCGAACTACGAGCAGCTTTAGGCTGTCTGCTTACATTTGGCCAAAAAATTGCTAAGAAAGAAGACAAACTACGATTCTGTGATCTGGAGTTCCACAAGTTTACTGTGCATACATGTCTGTGCAAACTGTATTGCTTTTTGTGTGGAAACTAAAATATGACAAACTGCAACTAAAGAAAACAACACATAGGTATTAAATACTTTTCTCAGTCCTCATTGAGCACGCATATATCCTTTTGGCCAAGTTTTGTCACCTTAGAGCAGTGGTTCCCAACCTATGGTCTTCCATTTGTTTTGGGCTTCTGATCCTGAACCCCCAGCCAATTTGACCAACAGTGAGGAATTATGGGAGCTTAGAGCAAGGCTGGGAATTCATCTTGTTAGATATGGTTGAACAGCAACTCCCAGGATTCCTCACCATTAACAGTGCTGGCTAGGGCTGCTGGGAGCTGAAGTTAATCAACATCTGTAGGGCCATTTAATTCCCACATTTGTCTGGAACAGAAAGGCCCAAATCCAGTTGCAAATTCCAACTACAGTAGATCCATTGAATCAACTGCAGAGGTTAGTATTTACATAAATTGCATTAATTCAATAGGTTTGTTCTAATTCTAACAACTGATTTAGACCCCTGGTGTCCAGAGTCAGTCCAACACTCAAACCACTAAAACACACTGGCTCCCTTTGTAGTCATTGTTGAAGTAAAACTGCTAGCCCAATCAGCTTCCTTATATGGACTAGGAGGGGACAGAGGGTTGTTGTTGCTTTTATATTCATTAATAAACTTCAACTCCAAGTCTCAGGTAGGGCCTGGGATAATCCTGACTTGATAACCCTAGACTGGTGGAAGATGCTGCCCCATCACCAGTATGGAAGAGAGATTCTACTGCAACTCATTTTCAAGAAGTCCAGTTGTGTCCAAAGATTATTCTTGGACTCAGATTGTGTGCCATATTGTTATTTGCTTAAGGCAGCAAGATGTCATGGGCTGGCTTGAGCCTGCTCCATTTCCCCCACTCACTCACTCACTCACTCACTCACTCACTCACTCACCCCACTCACTCACTCACTTTGGACTAGGTCACTAGTCCAAGACCTTTCTTGGAAATCATTCCATCCTTTTGATTGTTGCAGCCTCTCAGAAAGTAATGATCACAGGCTAGGACTTGGGGGCTAGGAATTGACAGATGCTCACTCAGTTTTCCTGGGTTCATTCTTGGCTACGAAACAAGGATTTAAAAGAATGCTGCCTTTCACTTTAACTATCTGCTGCCATCACCACTTTGAGCTGAGGCTCTAGGCAAAAAGTTCCCTGATTACTGGGCATCAGGCCCAGTGGGAAGAAGGGAAAAGCCTAAGCAGCTGTATGGTTTCTAGCTTGCATGCTTATTGCAGAACGGAGTTGGCATTGGTTAAGCCTATTTGTGCAGCTTGCAGAATATATCATCAAATGCAACATCTAATTCAAATAATGCTCCATCTGAAGCTATCACATGGCACATCTCCCTGCCACGACCAGCTAATGTTGACAGGCACATGCAGAGAGACGCTCCCCATATTACAACTCTAAAAACACTAATAACATGTAGGTTGGTAATTTAATTTGCTAGCTTTCAGTAAAATCCACTTCACTAGTGCGGAACAGTGGTTTGTGTGTTAAGAGACAAGCAGATGGCAACATGTTTAAGGGAACTCATAAGGGTGTTAATCACTGCTAAGGTGATATGAGAACTCCCTGGCATGAAACTTTCTCTTAACCACTATGCTACTTTTGTGTTCAGTTAAGGAAGATGGATGAGCCAGTGTGGTGCAGTGGTTTGAGTGTTACTACAAGTCTGGAGACCAGGGTTCAATTCCCAGCTCTGCCATGAAACTCACTGGGTGACCACAGGCAAGCCACATACTCTCAGCCTGAGGGGAAGGCAATGGCAAACCTCCTCTAAAGAGATCTTGCCAAGAAAACCCCATGAAAGGGTTACCTTAGGGTTACCATCAGCTGGAAATGACTTGAAGGCACACAAAAACAACAACAACAACGTCCATAATGTCAGCTCACTTACAAAGCTCAGAGGGTAGCCTTGGTACAGTTAGAATCATAGAATCAAAGAGTGAAGGCAATGTGTGTATTGCACTGAGGTCATGGTAAAGAAGAGGCACTCAGTGTGAATGAGAACAGCTGGAAGGGAGAAAGAAATGTGAATTAAATTACAGACACCGGGACCAACTTCCCCCAAATCTCTTTTAATTCTCAAGATTATAAACCTCTGGAATACTGAGAAACATGAGTTTTAGATATCAGATTTCATTCTTGCAGGAATCATGGTGATAGCAATGGAATATCTGCTGGATGGCATGCCTTGGTCTATTTGCTTTTGTTTCTCCATTGCTTATGTGCATAAAAGACATGTGCATGTGACTTGTATGTGGTGTGAAAGGTACAGCTGCATTTAAAATCTATGCTGAAGGGGAGAAAAGTGGCAGAGGGAGACTGAAAGAGAGGGAGGAAATATGTATGTAGCAGAAGGCATGGAGAAGCAGGCCTGCCAGACCAAACTTTTTTTTTTTTACAATTAAGGAAGGTTATAGGCTGTAATTTAAAAGTAAATAAATAAAAGGATCACAGACCAGTGCAGTGTAGGATGAAAGCAAGAAGTGGTGGTGGACAGACTAATATAAAAATGGATAAGAATGTATTGGGCTTGTAGGGTTTTCAGATCTCTGGTCTTGGCCCTTCTCCCCAGGCCTCAGAATTAATTAATTAATTAATTAATTGCCTATCACTGAACATGGAAACCAAGGCCATTAACAAGGATAAAATGTAAGTTAAAGCTAAAGCACAATTTAAAAAGCTGTCATATAAAAACAGGCTGATATCCTGCATCATGATTGTAACTACAATGAAGGAGCTCTGACATCTTAGTTATAACTGATGATACTCACCCCCACCCCTAAATGTTGCAGCCTTGCAGTGTCCCAACTGAAGTTTTTCTGAAGGGCTGGAGCACTGGGAAAGAACGTTTGCAGAGCACTTAGAACAGGGGTAGGCAACTTTTCCCCTTTAAGGGCCGAGGGACTTCAGCTCCCAGAATCCCAGGAGCTATTGGCTAACATGGGACTATTGGCCAACATGGCTGAGGCTTCTGGGAGCTGAAGTCCCTTGGACTTAAAGGGGAAAGGTTGCCTACCCCTGACTTAGAATAATAAAATCACAGGGCTGGAAGAGACCACACAAACCATCCAGTCCAGCCCCTTGCCAATCAGGGATACACAGTCAAAGCACTCTTGACAGACGGCTATCCAGCCTCTGTTTTAAAACCTCCAAAGAAGGAGACTCCCTTACAATGCAAGGCAGCATGTTCCACTATTGAACAGCTTTTTTCATCAGGAAGTTCTTCCTAATCGTCCTCTGAGAATAGCTCCACAGAGATCAGGGCCTCCTCAGAAAATCTCAGAAAACAAGGAGGTTTGTATGGGAGAGACAGTCATTCAGATATCCAGGACCTGAATGGCAAAGGACTATTCAGATCCTCACCAGCACTTTGAAATATGTTGGAAACAGATGGATAGTCAGTGGAACTGTTGCAACCAGGGAGTTATGTATTCTCTGTAGCCAGCCTCATTTAACAAACTGGCTGCCGCTCTCTGAACCAGTGAAAGTTTCCAAACACTCTTCAAAAGTAATGTTACAGTGAAAACTTCCACTTAGCGAATGTAGTGCAAGGAGTGAATCTGTTGGAGCTCTGACAGAATGGTGTTTACTTGGGGTTTTCTCACCCGGAAAGTCACCATTTTGAAGTGGCTGTGGGCGAGCTATCTCCCCTTGGAACAGGGAAGTCTGGTGATCCTTGCAGAGGTTCATTTACCCATGAGTAAAGGCTGGAAACCCCCAAAAGATGCCCCAGAGAAAGCCAGGAGAAGGGGCGAGAAGAACAAGTGGAGGCGAAGCAGCCTGAGTGTGGAAGGAATCCTAGACAGTTTCCAAAATAAATGCCTTGGGTTTTCCCTGGGCTATAAGCACTAGCAATCAACTTAAAAGCTTGAAAAGTGTTAATTACGTTAAAAAAAGGACTTTTTCTTTCAATCCTCACTGAGAAACAAGTGTTATTGCAAATAACAAGACACCAAAGGAAACAAGAAGATGCCAAAGTAAAAAGGTAAAGCGGTGAAGGTGGAGAAGGAGGGGTAGCAGCGATAGCCATGGAAGAAGGGAGAAGACAAAGGAGGGAAAGAAGAAGGAAACATCAGAGGAAGCTTAGAGGAAAGTGAAGGAGTGAAGGAGAAGGTAAAAGAAAGTGGAGGCTTGAAAGAAAACAAATAATTCTTTGGATTTTATGTCTTTTGTTGTTGTTGTTATCATCTTCTCAATGGTTTCAGAGTGACAGGGGGAAAACCCACAGGAAGGAGTTTTACTATGGTGAAAGGAACAGCCGAAAGTGAAGGGAAAGAAGATTAAAAAGCCTGTTGTATTTACTTTTTGCCTTTACCTTTGGGAATCATGAAATCCTAAATATATAGTTTTTCTTTTTTGAAATAATTTATTGCATTTAACTGACCAATTAGAAGCATAACTGCAAGGGGTAATTGGACAATCTGTTTAAGTTTGAGATTGTCAAACAGTAAAAAAAAGAGAGAAATATATATGTCTGTAAAAGAACACAGAAAGAATTCAGAAAGAAAATAAGAGAGAAAAGAAATTAAAAAAACAAACCAAAAAAAGGAAAGACTACAGAGAGAAAATAATAATACAAAAATAAAATAAAAAAGACTGCAAAAATGGCAGAGAGATATCTGGATGAAAAGGAGATACCTAAATTTTTTCCACTATTTTAGAGAAACAATGATGATGTTCTGATGATGTCCTTGGGAAGGGTTGGAGTGCCCAGTGTCCGGCTGCTCCTCCCCTTCCCTGGCTACAAGACGGCGCTTTGCACCATCTGCAGAACCCCTTAATGAAGGGAAGAAACAATAAAGCTTCTGGCCCAGATGGCCTAACAAAAAGATGTTATAAAATTTTTCAGGAAAACTTGACTTAGCCTCTGAAAGATCTGATGAACGATATTGGAAAGGAAGGTGGAAAATTACCTCTCACTTGGTAAGAAGCAAATACTGTATTAATTGTGAAAGAAGGGAAAAACCTGATTTCACTAGAGAGCTACAGACCAATATTGCTGTTGAATGAAGATTAGAAACTTTTCATGGTGATACTGGCTTATAGATTAAAAGCTGTATTAAACTCTTGGATCTGTTAGGCTCAGTGTGGCTTCCTCCCGAATAGACAATTAAAAAAAAATAACATCAGAGTGATATTAAATCTAATTGATTATCATGAGATAAATAACGACAGGAGGTTGGCACTGATCTTCATAGACCTGGAAAAAGCCTTTGATAATGTCCTTTGGGACACAATGTGGGAAATTATGGAAAGAATGGAGATAGGTAAAACCTTCTTAAATTGGATCAAAACAATATATAGAAATAAGAGAGCAAAACTAATTATAAATGGGAGAAAAAACAATTATGTAAATATACAAAAAGGCACCTGCCAGGGTTGCCCACTACCCCCTCCCCTTTTATCATGGTGTTAGAAATTTTAGTAAGAAATATAAGATCAAATCAGAATATAAAATGTGTAATGATAAATGGAGAAGAATTTAAAGTGAGAGCCTATGCTGATGACTTAGGGCCTCGGCAGATGACTAATAGAGTCGTCTTGGAGGCCAGGAAGAGGAGGAGCAGCTGCACGCGCGGTGCTCCTTCCTCTTCCTGAGGTTGCCCTCGGAGCTGCCGGCCCTCTGCATGGCCGGCGCTCCCAGGGCAACCTCCCGCCGCAGCGTCCGCACACGCTGTGGCAGAAAAGGCAGGGAAAGTGTGCCCTACGCTTTTAGGGCGCACTTTTCCTGTCTTCTAAAAGGAGCGCCAATTTGGCGCTCCTTTCAGGGACGCCGCAGGAGTGCCGTGGTGCGGAAGCTGCAGTCCCGTGGCACTTCGTCTGACGGCGTCCTGGAAGCACTCATGTGCTTCCCCCCATAGTCATATCACTAAGCAACCCTCTGAATGATGAAAAAGAATTAATAACAGAATTGGAATGCTTTGAAAAAAATCAGGTTTAAAAACAAATGAAAATAAAACAAAAATCATTACCAAAAATATGAATTAACAAATAAAAACTCTGACTTATTTGTTAATAACTATAAACATACATGGCAACAAATTAAAGAAAACTTACAAAGATGGAGAGAGCTAAAAATATCTTTGTAGGGGAGAATAGCTACTATAAAAATGTGTATACTCTCCAAAATGTTATTTCTATTTCAGACGTTGCAAATTATACGTTTTTAAAGAATGGCAAAAAGAAAAAAATACGTTTATCTGGGATAAAAAGAGACCCAAAATAAGACTTAAATATCTGCAAAATGCAAAATAAAGAGGGGGTCTTGCCTTACCAAACTTTACTTTGATGCATGCACCCTAATGTGAATCAAAGACTGGTTGACTCTTAATAGTAGGAAACTATTAAAGTTAGAAGGGTCAAACATTAGGTTTGGCTGGCATGCATACTTGTTTTATAATAAAGGGAAGATTAATAGAGATTTCACAAATCACTACATAAGAAACACATTATTAGAGACATGGGACAAATATAAAAGGCATATATGCTCTAAAATTCCCATATGGGCCTCCCCACATGAGGCACTGTTTAGATCAAGCCAATGGAGGGGGAGGGATGAAAAATGACTAACATATAAAGATATACTATATAAGCAAAACAATACCCTCAAATTAAAAACAGCTGAGGAATTGAAAAAAGAAGGGAAAATCACATACTGGTTTAAATACATTCAATTAAGAGAGAGATTTTATAAGGATA